GCGGTGGAAAACGATACACCTTTTTAAAATATATATGCCAGATAATATTGAAAAGGAACAATCATTAAAATTGCAAAGCTTCCTATGTTTTGTTTCCTGTGATAGTATAAAAATATTTTTACTATCACGGTCCTTGTGATGTAAAATAATTCAAAAATTATTTATAAAGCACTTTAAAAACCAGCAATAGTTGGCCAGAGTACTGTAAAATCAAAATGGCAAAAACCATAAAACACGATAAAAACACAAGGACCAGTTTAAAAGATGAAAAGACAATAAAATAGAAAGAGCAATAAGACTGTAACAATAAAAGAAACACTAAAAGCAGCTCTCATACAGAGTTAAAAGCCAAGGAATAAAAATGTGTCTTAAGATGGGGTTTAAAAACCCGGCAGTGTAAGGGTAGCCTAACATGTAAAGGCCGCAATTCTGCATGTGACGATTGCATGTCCATTACATGCAATTGCACATTGTGCAGCCTTAATCAGGGTACCCGCGGTCATGGAAAACCTGGACAAGTTTTGGAATTTTTAAATAATTTTTCCAGGCCCTGGATAAGTTTTGGAATTCTTGGATAGAGAGGAAAAGTTATGGAAAAGTTTTGGAAACTAGCTTGTTCATTTTTTCCCGCTTCGTTCCGCAACGCGCTAACAGAAATGTATGAGTGGAAGTCAGTAGTTAACTACCTTGGTAAACATATGCAGATTTCGCGTATTTGAGATCGCTGTATATTTGAGATTTTTGCTCGTTATTCCAGTTTTTATGATTTTATTTTTTTGCACGTATTTGAATTTTATTGATCAGTTTTCCGTTTTTGACTCCGTTAGCCTCTACCAATCATAAGGTACATATAATTTTAATATTTGGACTAATTTTCTTAATAATTGAACGCTATTTGCACATTGGCGAAAGTTGTCCACCGTCCGTGTTTATTTGGTAAGCAGATTGGCTATTATCGTACCGAAAATTGTAGTAATATTGTCGTGCCGTATGCGGGACGCGGAGCGGAGACAGAGGAGCTGCAGTCAGGAAATCGGGGAACACGGGGTTTAATAATAATAAAAAAAAAGGCCAGGCAAGAAAACACGCAGTGACATTACAATGACCGGACTGGGGAAACCAACTGAAACTGCAAGCTTAGCCAAATGACTAAATACAGAGGACTAATGACAACAACCAGAAACAGCTGATCACACAGGGATTCCACACGAGGTTAACGAGGGGGCGTGGCACACGGAAGGAGTGGACGATCGGGACAGGACAATTACTATCTGAAACTGCATGATCATCAATTCAAAGCAAACTTGTGGGTTTTGGAAAATTTTCATGTGGTACTGCAAAAGTTTTGGAAAAGTCATGGAAATTTATTCTGCCTGAACTGGGGGAACCCTGCTTAATGTAGAGGTCTGACCTGCTGAGCCAAACACTGCCTCACTGGAAAAATGGCTAAGCTTGCAGTCTGACCCTCAGCTTCACTCTCACCTGTGTGTGTGTGTGTGTGTGTGTGTGTGTGTGTGTGTGAGTGAACGGAGAGCATGATAGGAAATGTGAGATTCCTATGTACCTATATTCATAAGTGTACAAATGGCTTGTAAAGTATCATTTCATATACATTCTGAGGGGTGGATGCACAAAATGGTCCTGTTCAGTTCTTCAAGTGGAAAGGCATGATTTTTCAGGTTTGTCTTCAAGGTCTCGGCTCAGTGCTGATATAATTATTAAATGGGGCTGTTGAAAATACATTTCTGTATTCCTGGCTCTGCTGCAGTCTTGCATTTTTGTTAATAAACCGCCAGGTTTCACTTACCCCATTTCTGTATAGTAGATAACTGTCCGGATCTGTGACAGTACAGTAACTGCAAGGAGGAATGCAAGCCAGCCTGTCTGTTGAATAGTATCGTTATAGTATCAGTACAGCACAGGGCTGGGTGATAAAAATTTTTCCTTTGTCACTATAACAAATGCTTGATAAAAGTTCAATATAATTTAATACCCAACCTGTTGCCTGTTTTATATGTCCTGCATCACAATGAAATGGCATCACTTTCTGTGTGATTCCTTGTCAGGGCTGGCAGTGGAGCACAAGCACACAAACAGCTGTAAAAACACAAACTGCAGATTTATTGAACAAATAAGAGAACGCAATAGGGCAGGCAGGGAGACAAAAGACAACGCAGTTAGAGCAACTGGGGAACTCCATCGGGAGAGCAGTTCCAAAGCAAACTGTCCAATAACGGTAATCCAGCAAAATCCAAAATAAAAGTGCACAATAAAATTAAGTCCATGTTAAATCCACGCAGTAATAATCTACAGAGAATTCAGAAACGCTAGGAAGAATGCTAGAGGTGGCTGTTGTCACGACGAAAATAACCTGCTTGTCATATACCTCAGATTTGTGGAATCCTGTTTTGCAAGTGCCTATCTCGTTCTAACGATCAAGAATAGTTTAAAATCACAATTAACCATTTGGTTTCTTCAGTTTTCAGTCTGGAGCAAAAATCAGCCTTCAAACTGGTAAAAAAAATAACGATTGGACATTTATCTCGATAATTATCAATATAGACTGACACAGCAGTTTTTTATCGTGATAGCATTTTTGGCTCAGCCCTAGTATACGGGCTAGTCAGCACCCTGACAGTATCGCTTGTGTGGGGTAAAGGAAAGCTATATGAAATGTTGATAACATTTTTTCGTAAATTTCCTGCTCGCTCGTCGTTCCTGTCACTATCTTGTATGCTCAGCATGTTCAGTGTGGAGGAAGGCCTTTTACCTTAATTCATTTATTATAATGACCTTTTAAATTTGATGCTGACCGCCTCGGCTGTACTCCGTTTCGACAAGTTCTCTGTGAGAGCCCCGGAAACGGTGTGATTGAAGGGCTACGGTGCGAAAACCTCGCTGACGCACGAGCTGCAACAGCACACCTGCATTCCAGCTATTTCTACTCCGTGACATTTCCGCAGGCAGATGACTCATTGCACATCATGTCGATAAGCTTGTATTTGAACAGATATGTGTAAACAAGGACAATTAAGGCAGGTCATCCCCTGCTCCCTGTTGCGTGTTACATTTTAATGATCAGCGCCCGGAGCCTTTCGGATGGTGGTTGCCTGTTATTTACATCACTAATTTTCATTAATTAAATCTTTCTCAGTGCCTCATTAATGCAGTATGTCATCTGGAATTTGTTAGCGTTTGCAAAGCTTGTGGTATGATTGGCAGGACATGGGCGTAAGGTCTTTGAGTCTGTTGTAGGAGGGGTTTCAAATCAAGGTCTCTGGCCTCTATCTGGGTTTTAGCTCAGACCTCCAGGGTTAATGGGAGCCGCTTTAACTGACCAACTTTTAAAATTAAGTTTTGGTGGCAGACAGAACAAAGAGTGTCATCCTTCAACGAGACACGAGGGTGTGAAGTGGAGGCTGGGTCACTGAGAAGCCGGGGGGGGGGCAGCCTCTGTAGGAACTTCATCCATGAATCCCGGGCAGCTTGGGTCTTGTACTCAAGGGAGGTGTACACTTGAGGGCCCCCGCCCCCTGTTGATACGTGGGTATCTTTTGTGGGCATTTGTTTATCACTTGTAGTTTGCTGGAAACCCTCGTTTGGCACATGAGTAGGGGTGCATTAAACAGTTGAGACGACTTGAACTGTTGCGCCGCTAATGGCGCCCCCTTGGGGATGGGACTGCTAACGGCACCCACCCTTACCGCTGTCCTGGCACGCCGCGCGATCCCGGTAATGAGCGACCGCGCCTGGCTCTCCCTCCCTCCTGCACTCTAATTTATATTTCACACTGAGCGTGTGGGAGGGGGGGGGATTTGTGTTCGCTTGTTTTGAAGGCGGCTGCGCTTTTACCTGCAATGCAGTGGCCAGCCGCTGCAGCCATTCAGAGCAGGGCTCTGGAGGAGGGGGGAGGGCCAGCGCTGACGACAGCGGGGGGGGGGGGAGTTTGCTGGCGAGCGGCAGCGCTGCTGACTTCACGGCACTCTGCCTGCCTGCACTGCCACAGGCGCATGGGCTGCGTCTCTCCCGGCCGGCGTTGCACGGCTGCTGCTCGCGCTCTCTCTGCCGTCGCTCACGCCCCCTCCCATGGGCATCCGCGCTTCCTGCAGGTAAGCGTGCGGGCAGATGGAGGGGGGGGCNAGATGGACAAAGAGCTTTGGAGGAGGAGAGAGATGGGGAGAGAGAGCTCTGGAGGTAGAGAGAGATGGGGAGAGGAAGAGAGTTTTGAAGAAAACGGAGGTGGGATGATGGAAGGAGAGATGTGGAAAAAGACAGATGACTTAAGAAGGATGGGGAGAATGAGTAAGATTTGAGTGAGAAGGAAGAGATTGGGGAAAAGGAGAGAAAGAGGGAAGAAAAGAAAGGCAGAGAAATGAGGGAAGAGAGGAGGAGACGGCTTAGAAGAGAGGGAGAGATGACAAGGGAAGGAGAGAGAGAGAGAGAGGGAGGCAGGAGGGAGAGCCAGAGGGGGAGAAGGAGCAGATGAGTGACCCTGCAGGCTCATCCCCCTCTGCTGACGCTCCCATCCTGGGTCACGGCGACCCCTGACCCCCCCCCATGGTCCACTGTCTCCAGGGCGACTGGTACCCACTGACACCACGGCTTGCCCTGATATGGTCCGATCTTTAAGGACGTGGCTGGGGCCAAGGACAGTGCACAAGGTCCCCCCCGACGGGGCACTCAAACCGACACCCAGCCCTGCGAAAATGGTTTTCCTTTTCCCTCAGTGTGTTTTAAGGTAGATTAGCCGATTTTGAAAGTAATAGAAATTATCGTGTCCTGTATTAACAATCACAGATGACAAAATAATGGCTCACAACTTGACAACCGGTTCTTTATGTGGTAAACTGCTGAATAGTGGGGGGTGGTGGTGTTTTCCTTATATACTCATTCAGTCTTGGTGGCCCTAGGTGTCCTGGTGATTGGATGGGCAGGAAGATGCCGTACCCAGAATGCACTGGGGCTGGGGCTGGGGCTGGGGAGCACTGGGGCTGGTGTTTGCTACGCAGCCTCTACATATTACATGGCTTATTCTGCCAGTAGCTGGGGCCCTTGGAGCCGTTATACCAAGTGCCTCCTGGCCCCTGGCCAAACGTGCATCTGTCTGCCGTCAAGTTATTTTTTAAATTGAAAAATGTAGTATTTATCGAACAATCTAATAGCGTGATTATTTAACATTTCCTTCCTGAAGAAGAGATCAGCCTGTGAAGCGCGGTGCATTGGGGGAGGGGGGTACTCTCTAATTGGATTAATAGCCAATTCTCTGCTGGTGCTCATTGGGGGGGCCCGCCCTGCCTTTTCGCTTGGCTGATTTGAAGCCGCATCAGAGAAACTTGCATACCCTTGAATTTGGACGTCTGTGTCCCTGAGCAGCAGGTTATTTAAGAGCCCTGGCTTTCTGCTACAAGTGGAGAGCGCCCCCTCCTGGCCACTTAAATTTTTTTTTTTTTTTTTTTTTATGTAAATTGTTTAGATTCCCTCTGTCACTAATGGCTACGTAGCCCCCCCCCTCCCCATTTTAAAGGGCCGGCATGTTTTTGGTGCGCCCGTCGGTGTGCATCTCCTGGCTGACACGCCTCGTCTTGTGAGCAGCAGGCCCTGCTCCTGGAGCAGCAGCGTATTCACCAGCTGAGGAACTACCAGGCTTCCATGGAGGCAGCGGGGCTGTCAGTCCCCTTCGCGGCACACCGGCCCCTGTCACGCGCCCAGTCGTCCCCGGCCTCCGCCACCTTCCCTATCGCCGTCCCGGAGCCGCCCGCCAAACCCCGTTTCACCACCGGTGGGTATTTTGCGGACTCGACCTCCTTCCTTGCTCTTCTCCTCCATCTTCATCCCCTGTTCTTCAGGCCAGGCGTTCCTCCCTGCAGCAGGTGGCACAGTGTTTGAGGTCATGGGTTCCGCTGACGGGCCCCCTTAACGATTCTGGCCGCGTTAACAGGGTGTTGGGCACAGACAGGAGGCTGAGGCTGAGGCTGAGGCTGACCCCAGCCCAGATGCCCTGTTTTCCCACCAGCAAATGCCCATTAACGACTCATCGTCTGGCAGTAGGACGTCCGTGGTCTCCACCACGCCACTCTGCTTGATGTTTAAATATTTTAACGCTGGTCCTGGCGGGAGCCGATGTCCCTTTCACAGCGTCAGCGAGGACACGTGTCCCTCTGTATTGCTCGTGTTTTATTTTTATTTTTTTTTAACCCGAGGAACACTCCAGCTGGCCCTGTGCCTCTGTGATTAATGTGTTCCTTCTCGGAGAACTAATCAATTGTCCTTGACTGAGTCCCCCGACCCCCCCCCTCCCAGGGGCAGCGTTGGGTTTGAGAGGGGGCAGTTCGTACATGGTCGATTCTAACTCCTCCTGTGTCTGTGTCTGCATGTGTGCGCATTTCCTGCAGGACTGGTGTACGACACGCTGATGCAGAAGCACCAGTGCATGTGCGGCAACACCAACACGCACCCGGAGCACGCGGGCCGCATCCAGAGCATCTGGTCGCGGCTGCAGGAGACAGGCCTGCGGGGAAAGTGTGAGGTAATGCGACGGGGATGGGGGCTGGTCAGACTGCGCAGTTTACGGTGCCAATAGCTAACCAGGATATCAGGAATGTTTAATCTTCTTTCCCCTTCCTTTTCTCTTTCTCACAGAGAGTAATATTCTTGGTGTTAACCTATTAACAAGCAGAAAGCGATTGAGAACAGTCAGTTTCTTCCAGAATGATTCTGGTGTGGGCTAGCGGTATCTAGCTAGGCACGCAAACTTTTCAGGGATGCATTATTATCCCCACCAGCAGAGGGCTCTGTTAATCCATGAAACACAGCATTCGCCCTGATGTTTTCCGTTGATCTGCCGCCCTGGTCTGAGATGAAGGAGGCTCTTACTCAGCACGAGTAGGAAATGTCCACTTGTTTTTGAAAGGCCCTTAGACGAGAGATAAGCGAGTTAAAGGTTAACGACTTGGCAAGCCCACCGCTTATCGCAGTCTACACCTGTTCCCTCAGATTCCTTCCTGCTTTCATTATGGAGCATCATCTCGATCTCCTGTGACTAAACCCCGTCAGATGGCTTTAATCTCTCCCATCGAGCCTTCTCTAATTTGTTGTGTTGCGTCAGTACTGTTCATGCTTAATTCCCAGCGGTTCCTAACAAACAAATCCCCCCCCATGCAACACACCACCTCCGGAGCGGTTTTCTCTGGTGTCCTTAAATGAATCTCTGCTTGTGTTATAACCCTGCCAGGCCTGACTTCACAGTGCCCCCTACAGGGCGCATACAAAAATTGTCTGGCCTACTGAGGGACAACAGGATGTCAAAAGTGCAGTGCAGTGTAGTGGCTTCACTCTCTCTCCCCCTTCTCTCACCCTCCCTTCGATGATGACCCCCCCCCCCCAGTCCATCCCACGAGGTGAACGGGAGCAGGGACCCCTTCTCAACCAGCCATGGGGGTACAACGGGGGGGTATCTGAGTCATAGAAGAGAGGTGGTGGATGTAGCAGGCAAACCCACAAAACACCCGTTTAATATGTCACGTCATTAGCGATAATGTGCTCATTACAGGGATTAGCTGCTGTGTCCCCTGTGAACTGGGGCTGTGCTGTTTCCATCTGAGGGGAGGCGGGGAGCAGAGACCCCCCCCCCCAGTCCATCTGAGGAGGTGAACGGGAGCAGGGACCCCTTCTCAACCAGCCATGGGGGTACAACGGGGGGGTATCTGAGTCATGGACACTAAGGGGCCGGCCTCCTGCAAGACTGGGTGTTGATAGGTGGGGGGGTCAGTGTCAGCTGCAGGTGTGGGGGAGTCTCCCCAGGTTATTCCCCCGCGCCGCCTAAAGTCCAGTCACTTGGTACTGTGCTTGGCGTCTGGAGTGCAGTTTCTGGGACAGTAAGGCACTGCTGTTGATTGTCCCATCTGGGGGTCGCAGAGAAATGGCAGCCACGTCAGTAGCAGTTATGCACTAATGGTGGTTTTCTGTGTTTGTGTGTGGGGGGTGCAGTTAAAAAAAAAAATTGCCCTGGGAAAGGCTGCGGTGAAAGTGGGGGGCTTTCGCTGAAAGGCAAGCTTGTGTGTGTCGGGGTGGGGGAGGAGTGCGGGGGGGCTTGTTTTCTGTCCATGCTGCGCCATGTGTGGGTTGGTTCTAGAAGATTCCTTTGCCTTATCTAAGTTAACCCCGTCTGTGCTGGAAGGCGAGTCCTCTTGTGTTTGACCCCCGCTGGAGGTTTTCCTGTTTTGACCCGGGAACGTGTTGCTCCCCGCCCGGCCTCGTCCCAATTACGCTCGGCCCCAGCGACGACCCGCCCGTCAGCATTCGGCAGGAGAACACTGCCGGTCTGTTTCTGGGTGTCCCCCCACACATCTGGCTCATGGAATCAAACAGGTTGTCTGTTTGCAGAGTCGGGCGACTGTGTGAGTCACCGACGCAGCGCGTTTAGAAGCGGCGTCAGCCGCAGCCTGTGTGGGATCTCCTGGCAGGCTCTGCAGTGGGGTCAGGGAATGGGCCTCGTCGACGGTGATCTGTTTGCTCAATCAACGTGAGGTCGTCTCAGCCTTTACTATGTATGTTGGCTGGAATCGGCTGCCTGAAAGAGCGGTTTTAAAATAATAAAGCCTGTTGCAGAATGCTAATTTACATCATTATAGGGAGACTAATTGCTATCACAGTTTAAATCAACACTGTAGGATTGCCAGCTATTCTAAAGTGTTGATTTTAACGCTCTTGTCCTGAACGTTTCAGCAATACAAATGTTGTGAAGAAGTGACGTTAACTGTCTTCGAAAGAATCCAGACCTTTCTTGGTCTTAACGAATTGTTGACGGCTTTGGTGATTAATTTTCCTGTAGTTTTATGGAGTGTTAGTGATGGCGAGACAGGACAGCCAGAACTAGATCGATTTCATCTGTGAGGCTTAAAGCAATCATGCAAAATTTAGCTAGTCTCCGATATTTAACCTTCATAGACAGCGTTGAGAATTTTTGCAGACATGTCATAGATTAATCAAAAATTAAACTACCCATTGTGATAAGCATTGGGCTTCTAATTAAAGTAAATGCACATTGTAATTGAGCTGCAAACATGCTTGTTGTGATTAGGAGACTTTGTCATCCTGTGCATTATGATGATGCTGCTGTCATTCAGCTAGTTTAACGTTCATAGATCTAAGCCATATTTGGATAATTCCAGGCTAAAATAGACACATGAACCCCTTGTCCTCTTGGGCCTCATAGTGTCTCAGCGGGCAGCCTTGTAGGTTTGATTGTTGCCCCCAACCCTGTGTGTGCAGTTAGCATGTTCTGTCCATGGTGTGTGGGTTTTGTCTGAGTATGTTTGTTTGTTTCCTCCTGTAGCCAAAAGTTAACTGATTTGTCCAAATTGCCCATTGATGTGTGTGAGCTTATGTCCTGTGATGAGCTGGCATCCCTGTACTGATTATGATGGTATGGTGGATGGTTTTATTATTATTTATAATATTATTTATAGATAGTGGAGTATCCTAAAAATTGTTCCGCAACCCATAGCATTTTTTTTTGCTCCAGTATGGCTGTCTGTAACACCAGCAAACTACCTGCAAAGAATGCATTGTAATGTCAGTAATTTACAGTTTGTTGAAGCTTGTCCTTATTGCTGTAATCCCTGTTTTAAATGGTGTTTGTTTGAATGGTGTTTATTTAAATTATGAAAATATTATGTTTTTAGTGGTTATATGTGCAGCATGCACCATAAATTATCACAAAGATGTCTTTTTATACAAGTGTGCTACATGGTTAAGATTTCAAAAAACTCATGTCATTTGCAGTTCTTGACAATGCTCAGAATTTAAGCAGAACTCTAGAGCTTCCTGCCAATTTATTTCATACATTTTTGCCAGCTCTTGGGTGCTAAATCTCTCTGGTGTCTGGTAATCAGTTTTAAAGTAGCTAGAAAAGTCTTTTTCAAAAATTCCTGAATGTGTAATGGTTTCCCAGGAGAACTGATGCTGTCTGTGAATTTCTTGCTTATCACATGCCAGCTGATTTATGCAGTGTTCATTGCTTTTCAGTTAACATCTCTGTAGGCATTTTCTTGATATAATTTTTGTTATCCAATTGCCATCTGTCCATCCAGTTTTGCACCTCTTGTCCCAGTTGAGGGCTGGACTTGGAAGACTGAATATTTTATCAGCTCTGTTTTTAAAATGTATTAAGTGTTTCTGTTCACTAAAAATTTTGATACTTTTTTTTCTCTCTGATAACTTGTGCATAATTTAAAACATTAGCTGTCTGTGGGTTTTGGCACATAAATCACAGTAGTATTGTGGTAATGTATTTCTAGGTTTTTGAGGATATATAAATATGGTACTGTAGATTTTTTCATTATTAATGTTGAGATTCAATAATATGAATGGATAAAAAATTAGCACGTAATCAGGCAGGTTTCCCATATACCTGTATATTTTTAATTACTGTGTAACCTTACTGTGGTACCATACCAGGGGTATAAAAAGATAAAAGTTTAAACTTTTCTTACTTTAAGTGGATTGTTAATATAGTTCTGGCAAAACTATATTATGCCATGAACTATATTAACTGAGCTCAAGTAAACGGGAAGAAAATTGCTATCTGTCACCATACAACAGCTTATAAATGGTCTCTGAAAACCAGGGCATTTTCCTGCCCTATTTTACTAGTTTCACTAAAGTTCTCTCCAAAACTACCCGAAGTTCTGTTTGCAGAGGTTTTTTTCTAAGGGATGTTTTTTTTTCCAAAAAGGAAAGAAGCTTTTCCCTCCTCCATTTTAAAGCTATGTCATTTGCTGGCCCATATGCAAGTCCTACATGCAATGACCGATGACAGGACTTTGGAGTTATGTAAACTCTCTCGAGGTTTGCGATGACTTTGAAACTACCCGGAGAAATGAGCAAGAGAGGAAGGACGATAGAGACAGCAGGCTGCTTCTTTGCAGTATTAATCTCCTACACGTCTGGCATTTAGCATCTCGCTCTGTCTGTCACTTTCCTCGTTGTTAGAACTAGAATTTCTCATTGCCTGCATCGTGCGTGTCAAACTTCTTTATCAGCGTGGAGACTCTTGTCAGAAGGTTGAATAGTGAAGCTGCATTTAGAAGAACACGAGCCTTGAAGAAATGGTAAAATGAAAGCTAGATTTGGATTAGGGGTGGAATGGTGGTGCAGTGGTTACCTCTTGGACCTGGGTTCGAGTCTCCTTGAGTGTGGAGTTTGCATGTTCTCCCCATGTCGTCATGGGGTTTCCTCCAGGTACTCTGGTTTCCCCCCCACAGTCCAAAAACATGCCCAGGGTAATCGAAGTTACCAAATTGCCTGTGTGTGTGTGTGGGTGTGGGAGAGGGAGAGAGAGACAATGAATGGTGTGCGAATGTGCCCTGTGATAGGTTGGTGCCCCATCCTGGGTTGTTCCCTGCCTTGCCTTGCCCCTGTAGCCTCCAGAATAGGCTCTGAACCCCCCATGACCCTGAACAGGATAAGCAGTTTCAGGAAATGGATGGATGAATTTGGATTTACCTATTCAATAATTTTGTATAAGCCAAAAACATTTGGAGATTTGGAGATGCTTCAGTTGTCTTGGTCTCCTCTTGTAACACAGATGAGGAACTTCTGCTTGTCATCTCCTAGGAGTTCCTGAGAAGTGCTTTATCGATTTTTTTTTTTATTATTATTATTATTTATTTATTTATTTATTTATTTATTTTTCTCCATTTTCCAGGCCAGAGCCCCATTCTAGGGGCACCTCCCAGCAGGCAGAGTCCCCGCTCCAAGAGAATGATGAGGAGATACTGGGGTCTGATGACGAGGAACAAGAGGACCCCAATGACTACTGCAAGGGTGCGTTCTCACTTGGGTCCCTTTGATGGGTCTGTTGGTGATCGAATTGCCTTGAGCTTTTCGTTTTTTGGTCCTGGCACAGGGGGCTATCACCACGTGAAGATCGGCGACCTCTTTAATGGACGCTACCATGTGATCCGCAAGTTGGGCTGGGGACACTTCTCCACTGTGTGGCTGGCCTGGGACATCCAGTGAGTACCGATGTTCCCACTGGAATCCGGCACCCATTCCTCTTGCCCTTTCCCTTGTATGTCTGCTAAGGCCAGTTTGTGGTGCAGGGGGAAGCGGTTTGTTGCCATGAAGGTGGTGAAGAGTGCAGAGCACTACACTGAGACGGCCCTGGATGAGATCAAGCTACTGCGATCGGTAGGAAGATACGGTCCTACTGCACGTTGCAGTGGAGGGCCCTCTTCCAGTGTCCTTCTCTTATTGCCATTTCTCTGAAAGTTCTTGTTCTTTGCTTTTTGTATGATGAACTTGCTTGAATTACTCTCATTTTCGTTCTTGAGGCTGGGAAATTTTGTACAATGCAACGCTTGTGTTATTCAGTATTGTTGACTGAACCAGTTGACTTGCTTACATTGAGCCTTTGGAGAAATTTATGCCAAAAATGTCTAATCATTAAAATTCATGCTGTGTATTTGTAAAATTCATTCTTTGTATTAACAGACTGCTCACTTTCCACTTCCACTAGGTTCGGAACACAGATCCTACTGACCCCAACAAGGAGATGGTGGTGCAGCTGCTAGATGATTTCAAAATCTCTGGTGTGAACGGCACTCGTATCCTGAAAGGTTCATGTTCCTTCCAGAGCCTCGGAGACCGTGTAGCTATTCTCTGGTTTCTTCTTTTGTTTTCCAGACAATATTGCACAAAAATTGAATTAAATGGGCTCTGAAATCATCATTCCTCTCTCACGATGGACTCTTCCTCCGGCTTGCTTGTCCACATGGTATATCTGGACACTTTCCCCTGGGCTACAGTCTTTACGGAGGTGATAAGGAGTTTTTAAGTCAGAATGTGGTTATGTCAATAAACAAAGGGTTTATAGTAATGATGCGGTTACCGTTAGCCCTCGTTTTGTCCTTGACGCATCTCCCCGTAAGATGTGTGTATGGTGTTTGAGGTCCTGGGCCATCATCTGCTCAAGTGGATAATAAAATCCAACTACCGGGGGCTCCCCCTGCCTTGTGTGAAGAGCATTATCCGTCAGGTAGGCCTCAGCGTATTCAGCGGGGTCTCGGAAGTGTGTGGAGTACTCAGATGGTTGCTGGTTACTCATGCCACCCCCCCCCCAGGTGCTGCAAGGCCTCGACTACCTGCACTCAAAATGTAAAATAATTCACACTGACATCAAGCCAGAGAACATCTTGCTGAGCGTGGATGAGCTGTACGTTCGGAAGCTTGCAGCCGAGGCCACCGAATGGCAACGGAATGGAGCGCCCCCCCCCTCGGGATCTGCCGGTAACCCCCAGCTTCTCCAAACAGGGTTTAAGGGTTGTGCCTTATCCACCACCTGGTCATGAGGATTACACATGGGTGATGGATTGTTTGCATGCTGCTTAATTCAGACAGTTCCTCTCAGCATTATAGCTGAAAATCCTGACAGTTTGGAGGTTATCTTGGGACAACCGCCCCAGTGTTTCAGTCTCAGCTGGTGGTCCGCGTGATGGTGGTTGATATGTATTTTGCATTTTCTTTGCAGTGAGCACAGCCCCGGCACCAAAACACGTAAGTCCCTCCTCCACACCCAGGGAAATGCTTAAAATGTTCATTTCAGATGGTTGGGACAGTTTGCCTCCTTCAAAACCAGGGCGCCAAGATGTCCAAGAACAAGAAAAAGAAGTTGAAGAAGAAGCAGAGGCGGCACGCAGAACTGCTGGAGAAACGTATCCTGGAGCTGGGGGACCTGGAGCGGGGACCTGAACTCGGCGAGGACGGCGAGGCGGACGAGGCGCTAACGCCCCCGAGGGCCCCCACTGCACCCCCCAAGTTGACGGCTCTGCAGGATGTGGCCAGCAATAGCACAGGAGGTGAGCATAACTGTGACATCACAGGAACTGAATAGTCGTTTGGTTGACTAGCTTGTGATGTAGACGATGAAAAGCAGTGGGACCGGGATGGCTGATCTTCAGACTTCAGTTATGATGATTATGTAACACAAGTACTTAGAAATTCTTTAGTGTTCACGCATTCCATATTCTTCTTTTATGGGAGCGAAGCTTGGGTTCAGAGTGCATGGTCGGCCATTTACCTGGCATCCTTGGGGCAGTATTCTGGGGTTAATGACCCAGGATTGATATGATTACGCTGCTGGTTGTAGGATTTGAACTGATTACCCTCTGTACATGTGCTGAGACTCCTTATCATGTCTGCTTCCTAGCAGAATATACTGTGATGATGTAGCTACTATATATAGAAGTTCTGCAGCTGAGGCTTATAAATACAACGGCTGAAATCCCTGGGTGGTTGATTCGTCACCATGGGTTGAGTTACAGTTCTTCTTTTTGCTTCTTTGCCCAGGTGGCAGTATGGAGCGACTCGGGCCAGAGAACATCGTGGATCTGAACTGTAACGGGCACGCTCATCAAGTGGCTGAGGAAGACGAGGAGACCAGGAGGCTCCTTATGATAGAGGAGGATCTTCGCAATGCTAATGGTGGCTTGGAAGGGGAGGAGCTACAACTTAACTCCGCCTACCAGGCTTGCAACAGTGCGTTGACCTATGGCCCCGCCCACCCGGATCTCAGCAGTGACGGTAATGCTCACCCTGACCAGTGGCTCGCGTTTTCCTGGGGCTGGGGGTGCAGAGCAGCTGTGTCCATAATCAGGGGCTGGGGGGTGTCTCCAAGAACAGCTTCAGCTTGGCATTTACTCTTCTTTGGTCTATAGAGCAGTAGCACCTATAATTTTCTTTGTTTCCAGTGCCTTCCATTCACTTAGTCATTAATGGACTGTCATGGTTATAAAACCTTTACTTATCTGTTTTTTAACATTTGGTCTTGTGATGAATTATAATAATTTTGAATGTGTTTACAAGCTAAACTGCTGCCTCACAAGTGTAAATTTTAACTGGCACTCTAGTGGTCTGGAATACCCTGCAATACCCTCTCCAAAGGCATGTTCTGGTGGATTGGTGTTTGTAAAATCTGTTTAGTGCACACATGTAAGCGAGCGCCTGTGTTGTCCTCTCTGACAGCCTGCCCTTCTGTACTGTGTGTACCTGTGCTTCTTGGGATAAGCTCCAGATCCAGGCCAAAACCTGCATCTGATAAGAGAATAGGGATCTTCTACATCTTGTATTCATCTGCAGAATTTTTTTTTTTTTGATGAGTCCTTTGTTTTTTGGCTTGTACACATTGTGAGTTCTTTGCCCTTAAAAACGTGACTCAGTCCTGATCTTGCATAAGCTTCCACTCATTACTTCCTACCTTCTGGGGAAATATTTATAGATAAATGTACCCTCAGTGCGAGTTTTTATTTAGACTGTCTTATTTTTTTTTATCAGTTGTGACCTGTTTTGAGTGAACACACTTACCAGTAGTTATAGGGATATCTTTGTAGCTGGTGGATGTTGCATACATAATTACATTAATTACTGGGATCGCCTGTGTGACTCTACCAGAGGCTTGTGGCACTTTTCCACTGCCACCAAGAACCCGAGCCATACCGCATAGAGGCTTGGTATCTAAGCTGTACCCGTGCTGATTTGGCCCTGCATAGTAGCAGGGCCAAAAGCATGACTAGACACAGCTGGTTGAGTTGCCACTACCTGATTGGTCAAAATGCTTGGAGATGTCGGTGATCTGCGTCAATACGCATGGATTATCTGAAGGAAAAAAGGGTACATTCTGTCCATTTTTAGTAGTATTGCACATTGCGATGTACTGCTGCATTCCTGATAACTCGGAACTTGAAAATTTCCAACCTCCTACTTAAAATAAATAAATAAATAAATATAGAACAGACAAACAGAATGGATTTGTAATGCAAATTTACGCAAGCTAATGCTAATTCCACTTGCATTGAATGCTAACATATGATGGCAATTCTCACAGATGTGTTAGCAGCGATTAGCACATAGTAAATTATTATGTACACTGTGTGAACAGTAAATAAGCATTTCTTCAGTTTTATGTGACTATCACTCTGCAAACTTTTATTAAGCCGACCCTTCTGCAGTGGAAAATCAAAGCGAGCTGGAAACACTGTAACGCTGTGTCTCTGTGGTAGGGCTCAGGTACGGCCAGGCTCCTGTATGCCAGTGGAAAAGCTCCATTAGTCCTGTATTCATCTCACTCCCTGAACCCAGCTACAAACAAGCTTTGCTTTTTTCTGCTATGAGAGGGAGGGTAGAGGTTCAGCCTGTTGACTTGTTGGCTACTGAGTAAGCAGCTGTTCTCGATTGGTTGCCAACCTGTAGATTGGAGGCTGCCATTGGTGAGACAAGTGCTGCTCTTCCAATGAGAGCAGCTGTTCTATTTTGTGCTATCTGTTGTGTGTGTATTTCTGGGATTCCTTCTTTTGCACTTGGTTGAACTCCCTAACGGACGCTTCTCAAGATCAGAATTAGATGCTTTCAGCTTAATCTCCTGGTCTCTGGACAGCTCATCACAGCGTAACGCAAGCTGTCCTAGAGGACTGGTGTCTGTATCGTTTTCTTTCTAGCCCAGGGCTCAGTTAATTTAATACCATAATTGAACTAATTTTACCCTCTTCTCAGCTGAGGTTGTTGGTGGCTTAAAGAAATTTGGCTGCTGTCAGTTTCATCCCCTGTCACTTGCGATTATACAGCTAAGCAAGCAGCAGGCGCCCTGCTGATCAACCCTCTGGAACCCCTGAATGCAGAGAAGATCAAGGTCAAGATTGCTGACCTCGGCAATGCCTGCTGGGTGGTGAGTCGCACTCATCGCTTTCCTCCCCCATTCGTTCATGCTTTTCGCCCCCCAGGGTTGCTGCCACGTTGGTCCTGCTGCTGCTTTATTCATAGGCCGGTGTCTAGACTAGGGAAAAAGTTTTACAATTAAAAATAGAGATGTTGCGTAGATCTATGTGTATTTTTGGCCAAAGGTTATGCCATGGCCCGATTTAAGCCCGTGAACTTATTGACCGGCCCTTTATTGCTGCTCAGTATTACTTGCTTTTGTTTTTAATTGTTTAATATTAAAATCTGAAATTTTACATGAGAAGCTCAAACTATACACATGGTCAGGGATGTTTGTGGGACCTGAACAGCCATCCTGTTAAAACCACCTGCTCTGCCGCTAGCATTCCGGTTGCTGTCCTCACCATTTCAATGGCTTTCCCTGCAGCACAAACACTTCACAGATGACATCCAGACGAGGCAGTACCGGGCCCTGGAGGTCCTGATCGGGGCCGGCTATGGCACGCCAGCTGACGTCTGGAGCACAGCTTGCATGGTAGGTTGTGCACACCGCAAGGTGTCTTATACTCGTGCAAATTCACAATAGATTTTACACAATAGATTCGACAATACACAATAGATTAGAAGATTCATCTTCTGCTGTTTAGTAAAAGTCACCAAACAGGAGGCTCCTCTGTCCATTCAGTGTCCCCCTCTTGAGCTATAATGGCCTGCCCTCAAAGGGAAAACAGCGCCCCCTCCTGGATGTTTCTATCACAACTTCAGTATGTTCATTTAACAATAACCCCTTACTGAGGAGCGCAGGTCTGTCCTCGGGCGGCACCAGACCGAGATCCCACGGCCGCATAGGGAGGCTCACCGTCCCCAGACAGGAGCACTTCCTTTTAGCGTGAAAGGCACGGCACCCTTCTGACCTTTGTGGCAACGTGGGGCTGGAAAACAGTGTGTGGGAGCGGCTGTCTGGGCATGAGGCCTCCAGCGGCGTAGAGAATGTGAGGTCTGTGTGTGTCAGACGCTGCTGTCGGCCGCCAAGCCGCATTGTGTCGCTGTCCCCGCAGGCGTTCGAGCTGGCCACCGGAGACTACCTGTTCGAGCCACATTCCGGAGAAGATTATTCCAGAGATGAAGGTAGGGTACCCCCCCGTCCTCAAGAGTGGCTGCTTGGTTGGTTGTTGCTGCTGCAGCCTGGCAGTCCATATTTCTCATGCTTTTACATGCCCTACATACCCTGTGTCTGTTAAAGTTCAGTCCTTGGTTCTTTAAAGTCATGTCAGCCATTTAAATGGAGAACCTGCGGCCGTAATCCCTCTAAAATGTGCTCATCAAATTTTTCAGAGCTCGCTAGTCTCTCTAGTTCACATTTTGGCTTTATTCCATTTTGTCAATGGGATGTGTGTCAGAGAGACACAGCGTCGGGTGTCAGGGCTAAGTGTGAATAGGCCTGCACTCCCATTTCCTCATCTGCAGGGAATTGTCTAGCAAGTGTGGGGGGGTGCGCTCATCTGCGTAATTTTAGGGTAGTGGCTCTCGCATCCCTCCGTCACAAATGCTGCTGATGAAGTTGGTATTTAAGCTGCCTCAACAAGTTTATGCACAACAGGTTTTTACTCATTTATACGGTTGGAGCAGTTTCCAGCTTCGGGTTATAAGGTCGCATCCTTAACACCCCTTGTTGTCATAAGACCCGGAATCCTGTTGCTGTCGCCCAGCTACCTGCAATCCCTGTGCCTTGCCTGTTGTTCCTAGAACCAGTGTGAACACTGAAGCCTGGTTAAATATTAAAGCCTCCCAGGTCATATGACATGCTTTAATCAGCTCTCCAGAGAGAGAGGGGGTGTCATCAATGTTTCATAGCAACAGCAGTACCTGCGTTTTTGGTTGCTCTTGCCCAGAATTAAGGATTGGTCTTCCTGCAGTGGTAGCTCCAGCATATGTCCTCCGCTGTGGAGTCTAGGACGTCACCTTCACACCCAAGAGAGTTCCTTGTACTGTTTGTACTGTTCACAAAGCCTCCCTCCGTCTGCTCAGACCTGCTGTTGACTCCTAGTGGCAGCCTTGCATAGACGCTCATTACAAATGGGGGAGTTTTGGAGAATCACCATAAATTTAGTGCATTTCTGTAAAACTGAATGCTGAAGAGTTTTTTTTTTTTTTTTTTTTTTTTGCATTTGAGGAGCTATTTTGAGATTACATCATCTTATTATTCCACACTGATGATTCATCAACAATCCATTCTTATCATTTTGTAAAACCTTTGCTAGGTTTTAGGTGCTTGAAACCTCTCATTCTTTTTGTAAAACTTTGCCACCTGTAGCCTGGATGCTGCAGAAATCATTATGTGATCATGAAGTCATCATCTCCATGGTTTTCTTCTTTCTTTTTTTTTGTCTGCAATATCATTTGGTCCTCAGATGCTGCCACCTGCTGGTGGGAGTCTTGAAAGGACAACTCTTACCCAGTTTACTGTTTACCACCATAGAAACCATAGGCACTGCACTGCCTGTGTTTAATCAGTTTGTCTTCTTTACTCCGTCGTTCGCAGACCACATCGCACTGATCATTGAGTTACTGGGGAAAATTCCTCGCAAGCTAATTTTGGCTGGCAGATATTCCAAAGATATCTTCACAAAGAAAGGTAAAATCATTATGCATTGTCCTCTTCTCTCATGCACACATACACAACAACAAAAAAACACACAATATTAGCAGTACTTTATCAATATTCAAATTGTATAGTTTTTTCCAGTAAATCCAGAATATCACAGGAATTACAGTTGCTAACTGACATGCAGCCCGATGGCTATTTGTTTTCTCAGTGTTACTGAAGGACGGGTGAATCTTGCCGTATTGCCCCAGGTGATGCAGGTCCCCTGTGAGCAAACGCCTCTGCACACCTCATGTCGCTTCTGCTAATGACTTCTCTTTCTGCAAAAGGGGACCTGAGGCACATCACCAAACTGAAACCCTGGGGCCTCCTCGACGTCTTGGTGGACAAGTACGAGTGGCAGCACCAGGAGGCCCAGGCCTTTGTCGACTTTCTACTGCCCATGCTGGACCTGGTGCCCGAGAAGAGGGCCACTGCCGCGGAATGCCTCCGCCACTCCTGGATCGCCACCTAGTGGTCAAATCCGGAAACTACATACTAATGTGCGCAGTAGACTGGGCAGCACTGCACCCACTGAGGCCAGTTTTGGCATGTTGTGTAAGGGGTGCCAGCATGGCGTAAGGACACAGTCTAGTTTGGTCGACTCACAATTTTTGTTTTTTTCTCTTTAAATCCCCCTCCTCCAACACTAAATATTACATTAACTGACTTCATCCTAAGTCTCTCATTGACAGTTTACTGCATTTTATCAACACCTCACTGGTTTGTCAAGGCAAGAAGAACCTGATTTATTTGAAGATGTTATTTAAACTATTGGTATATACAGTATTGGGGTGGTCGCTCCACTTTTAAAGGTAACGGACTCGTGTCACGGCTTGGTGACCCCCGGCTATGGGACGCCCAGCCCCGTCCTGGGCACCGCTGTCACTCACTGTGTCACCGGCTCTCCCATCAGCCTTCTTTGCTGCCTTCCGCTTACGACCTCTAAGCTTGAACTTTTATCCTAAGTGAAGATTCCTGCCGTGTTCTCGCAGGCACGTCAGCTGCCGACACGTGCCGAGGGCTCTGTGTGAGCTCGGTGTGAGCTGGTATGCACACGTACCAAAGAGCTGGCCGTCTCTGTATTACTGTGCGGGTTATAAGTAATACTGACGTTATCTGAGGTCCAGCTGAATACCAGCTGAAGTTGGGTTGTTAAGTTAATGAAGGAATTCCAGTATGCCTTGGCATGTGTCTGGTTTTAGATGAATTTCTCCTTGTGTTCTTAGCTTGACTGACTTTTATTCGCTCCACGCTGTTTGCTGTGCTGGAGGCCCGGGCGGTTCCTCGTGGGGAACGTTCTCCTCGCCACCTCCTAGGGCAGCCTCTTCTCTCAGACTTGGGTTGTGCCCTTTCAGCTTTTTATTCTCCTCCTCGGTTCTCGCTTATCGTTTACCTTGGTGCATTTTGGATTGTTCACTGTTTCAGAATTTATAGAGGATATACTTTTCTGTCGATACTAAAGAACATTAAAGATTTGAAGAATGAAATCTGTCTGGTGTCTCTGCCTCTTTCTTATTTTTCAGGGTCGAATGCTGTCTGGTTCTGTCTGCTCTTAAGCTTCCGCAAGTTTCCAGAGTTTGCTCATATCCATAGAAAAACAGCCTCGCTTATGCAATGGAATTTACTGCTAGGCCCAAGGCCGTCTGCTTATGTCTAGCTGGGTCATTATTCATCGATCCTGCTTTTGGGGGCTTTTCTGCTTCTGCTGTGTTTTTATTACTTTTATTATCATTATTTTATTACTTTGGCTTATCCAAAGGGATTTTCTGTTTTTCCCAGTTTTGTCCCTTGACACATAACTGTGGCAATCTGGGATTTCCTAGGCGTTCAGCGGCACAGCCGTTTCAGGAACTTGATTCTGCAGACTTTGTCCAGCTTGAATGCCGCCCTACCTGTCACTCAAATACAGCTAGTCACTGTCCCTTAGCAAGCTTAAGTTTATCAAATTTCTTCATGCATCACCAGGACTCAAAACAGGATTTTTTTTATCTCCAATCAAGTATTCTACCAGTGAAAACAGGCATTTTATTGGTGCTATTGTAGTACAGGTGTCTCTGGAAACTAAAATTTACCCACAGCTTCCCTGGGGTATTCTTAGTGTTGTTAGGGAGAGTTGTTAGTCTAAGAGTTTCTTTTGCTGGCTGCAGGGAGAAATGACACTGCCTGTTACATGCAGCACATTAGTCTTTGTGGGAAGAGAACACATGTTAATTCTTACAGTGTAGGAGTCACTCAATGGGCTTATTCTCTATATTTAAATTGCCAGCTATGCTATGAATTCTGTACTAACCCACACAACAATCCAAATGCACATATTTAGCTTAATTTATATTTGTGTTGTGCCTTCCTTTGCTGTTAGTATTTCACGTTTCAACTTCAGACTACTGTTGCAGTCCATCATCGATGTGTGTGTCCCATCTCATGTCAGTCTACTCCATATTGGCATCTGATGGCAAGATCAGTGTCATCACTGATGTGGCCATGTGCCATATTTCCAGAAGAAAGACCATTTGTCATTACAGGTTTCTGCAGAAATGGCAAAACAAGTCTGTATGTGCATCTTTTGTGGAATCCATATCTGAAGTGTGTTTTCCTTCCGCTGAGGCGTCTTCCTTCAGCCGCAAAGGTCATGACTATCCATCTAAGCGATTTACCTGGTCTGATAACGCAAGTAATTTTTACAAGGGTTGGTAAGTGAATGTATGTCGAGCCGCAAGTCCCTGCACATAAGAAGCTTATCCTGAAAGGCAGAAGAATTAGGGCTGGCTGATTGGGAAATCAAGATGGCCAGGGGTAATGGGTATAAAAGTCCCCGCTGAGCCCTCCGTCACCAGTGCGGTGAAGGCTGTGCACGTTCGTCCACTGATATCCCACATCCTTGTGAAGTGCAGAAGGATCTCTGTAGCATGTAGAAGTCATGCAGTGGTAGGTTGGACATCCCCAGCGCTGCAAATGGCTCCTGAGATGATCTCTCAGGCCTCACCTGAAGCGACATGGCAGAGCTCTCAAGATGATGCACTCTAAACATTGGATGCTGCCGGACTTCAGACCAAATGGCCTTTCAGTTATCAAAGCATTGTCTTTTCACCAAATAATTAGTGTTTACATGAAGCCCATCTTTTATTCCATTTTGATGGAATGATTCCGTTAAAGATGCCAATTCCCTTTTCTCTGTGTTTTTTGTGCACTGTTAGGCAGCTTAGTTGAGTAATTTTTGTGTTTATGACTCTAGCTCAAGAAAGACCCTACAGATGTATAATTTAGGAGAAGGGTATGGAACCTGTTCCATGGAGGGCTGGTGTTGGTGCAGGTTTTTGGGAAGACCTCTCAATCAATAATTAAACAGTGGTTCTCAACCCCTGTCTTGGGGACCCTCTCATTGGCTGATTGAGAGGCCATCCCAAAAACCTGCGCCCGCATCGGACCTCCACGGAACATGGTTCCCCACCCTTGATTAAGGATGACCTTGAAATTTACTCTGCAAAGTTCAACACCACCAAAGTCACACATTTGCAAAGGGCCCCTGAGGTTTGGGCCTTGTTGGTTTTGGGCCCCTTTGTTAGCCATCACTACATTGAATATTAAATTAACGTGTTCCTTATTTAGGAGGTGCTGAACCAGCATGTTCTGCTAACCAGCTAGCTAGCTACCATCTTCTGACGGTACTTGCAAGTTATTTAGTTTTTGAGATATCAAGCAGGGAGTGAGTCCCAGAAACAACAAACTGTCCCTGCTCAGCTCCCTTCATTATCGTCTACTCGTTCTTCAACTTGTAGAATCTCTCTTTTACAGTTTGGTAATTTTTTCTATTAGACAAGTTGATTAAATTTGCCCGGCAGTTAGATTGATGCAGGACTTCCACATTGATTGATTAATAATCAATGTTACTATTGTTACAATGTACTAATAATAAACCTCTGAGAAGTCAGGCAGCCCTCGACTCTTCTGCAGTTATCACAGGTTTTAGATCATGAAGAAATGTGAAGAATATAGCATCTTGCCAGTAAACAGTCTTGCTGCGAAGCTTTGCTTGTATACTGATTTGCTCCGCAAACTTGTTCCTCTTTATTTTGCACTTTATTTTTAGGATAAACACTTGGTCGCATTTACTGATTCTTTCTAAAACAGTGAACAGCATAAGGTATATGAACATTTGTCCGTCAGTCCGACCATCCATCCAGCTTTCAGTCACTTACCCATCTGTATTCTGAAAAGGCTTTCTTATAAGCAATGGTGAGAGTCTTAATAATAGATATGCAAATGTCTATTTATTGTTGGGGGTGAATGAAGCCAAATTAAATGTTGTCTCCCCTGGCTCGTACACCCCTATCTATACTAATTTCCTAATAGTGAAATTAAAACTGACCAGTTGTGATGCTGTGATTACTTTGGTCATTGACGATGGTCTGGAACTCTCTACTAATCGTTGACTTCTACCCAAGTGTGACCCATGTTCATATCTCCAATTGGGAGGTCTCACCTTTGTCCTCCACTTGGAAGTCTTCAGGCAACAGCTTGTCCTGCCGGTTTCCCAGCACGAAGGCCAGGAAGGAGAGGGTGAGGGAATCCAGGATGCTGATGATGGCCAGGATGTAGGCCCAGCGCACCGTGCAGTTCCCTATCGTGTACTTGTCTGTCCGATTTCCACACATGCGTTTCACCTCCGAGGAGTCCCAGCCGTCGGGGTAAATCATGCAGCCCAGGACCATACAGACAGCTGGGGACAAGAGCTGGCAAATGTCAGCTAAACTTCTGGAATATTCCTGGCAATACACATGTCTACATCATTAAGGAAACAGCTACAAGCAGGGTTAACATGTTTTACTGTCACGTGTTCCAAGTAAAGTGAACAACATGTCTGCTAACCCACATACTCAACTAAAGACACGTGGAGAACAGATAACAATAACTAGACAGTAGGCAGCACAGACTGAGATAAGTTGGCAAGTGACTGAAGCAGCTGTAGATTATGTAACAGTGACAGTATCACTATTAAAGCACGATCAGTGCCTGTTGAGTCGTTTTATCACTGTTGGGTAAAAACTGTCCTTGAATCTTGACGTCTGGTACTAAACTGCTCGCCAAAGGGGCAGTGAGAGAAAAGTTCCCATGCAGGAGCATCAAACCACCCAATCTCTGCCTCTTAATGAAGCTGTAGAGATGTCATTTTCTTGACCCCAAAGACATAGCTAGTTTCTATAACAGCTTGTACCATTGAACTGCTTTGCTATGTGGTATCTTCATGCTTCCTGGATTTTGAATCTGAATGTGGAGAAATGTGCACATTTTTTCCAGTTTGTGTCTCACACTTTGAAGTGGTTCAGGAGAGCCAACAAGTGGTAAATTACCCTGTGATGCACCAGACCTGTCCATGATGTACTCTGCCTCCCAAGGATTCACTGCTTGTTGTTGACCTGATATAAGGTCACATGCTCACACTGTGGATTGTGGGTGTTACCCTCAGCACCTGGTGAAAACCCAGGGGAGGAATGGGAGACTGCAGACTCAGAAAGAGCCGGAACACCGTTTTTTTTTTTTTTATCTTCACTGAGTTATACACTGATGTCTAAACTCTAGAGAGTGCATGTACTTTGACAGGAAACAGGAGTGCATTGCGAAAGCTGGAGAGCCACTTTTATTGGTTACATCATTTTCAATGTACACAAGGATAATGATAGTGATTTTTCTTTTGTTAACTAGAAATCTCACCATCTTTTACCTCTAAGATGGTTCTGTTATTGTGCTTTTATAAAATTACATATTTTGTGTTGTCAAATCCCATATCTTCAAGCAGGAAGTCTAAGCAGCCACTTCATCTATACAGCAGCCCGAGGTTATTCATCTGACATGCCGAACATATCCAGTTCTAAACAGGCTGTAAATTTTGGAAGACAGTGGTGTGCGTTTCCATGGTGACTCCCCACAGGCCGCTTTGATGTTAGATCCTTCTATAAAAACCAGCCGTCGTTTCCCCAGCATTGCATCCTGCCATTAATATACACAATGCCTCGGCTCCTTGTTCACTTTGCGCTCACGTTTGCAGTGTTCTGGCTCACGGTGGCCAGGAACACGGTTTTGGTACCCAACTTTGTAACTTGTTTACCACCCCTTGTTCCTTTCCTGTATAAAATATGATCTGTGTCGCATTGTGTTTATTGCTATACAGGCAGATCTCGCCTTACATAAATCCAGATTATGCAAAACAAACTATATATATATAGAGAACAAGATATATAGAGTTTACGCAAAAAGGCAACTTCACCTGTGAGTAAATTTACACTCTATCTTTAAATTTATTTAATATTTGTTGTTTAGTGTGTAATACTACTATATTTTTTACGTGCTTTTTTGTTATACGGTATGTTGAATGGTATGGGAATCTGACTTACATACGGGTTTCTAGAGCGGAGTAGAAAGTAGCATTGGTTGAGAACTGCCTATGTAAAGACAACGATGCAAATAAAACCACAACAAGAGACACAGCCAAGTAAATAACTGCACTATTACTATTAAATCTAGGTTCACGTAGTAGTAGACAAGTAATACTTCAGGGATTAATGGTAAGCGTAGTGCTGATATTCGTTAAATCTCAGTCTAAGTCGGTGGAGGACAGAGTCTCCTCAGCTGCATTAAAGCAGGTCACAGTCAGTCCCTGATTTAATCTTAAATCCTTCTCCCTCTACTCAAAAACAGCCTGGAACAGGTTGCCCAGTGCCTGCGTGGCCCTAAGACCCAACTCCAATCTATCATGATCCCCAACTGCTATCCCTCTTATCCACCCTCACATCCCCCAGTTTTACCCCCTGGAATGAGAAAGTTTGTTCTACTTCATCCCTCAGACTCGGTGGCACATGGATTTGCTCACAAAATGATTTTTTTTACACTGTCCATGCCAGAACTTTAATATGATTGCATGTCTTTGACAAATCGTCATGCTCCATGACCATGCATCCAGTGCAGCAGTGCTGAACCTTGAGCCCAGCTCATGTCTTACAAGGTATTTCCTGGACTGGATCCACTGGGCATTGGCCCACTGGGCAATTTAGACACACCAATGCCATCAATTCACCAAAACCACATGCCTGTGAATTGCAGCAGGAAATAATCCCTGTATATGTACATATGTGTGTATATATATGTATATGTGTGTGTGTGTATATATATGTGTGTGTATATATATATATATATATATATATATATATATATATATATATTTATTTATTTCAGCAGCTGTTATCCATATACCTAGCATTGTGTATATGTTTCTTTTTTTCTTACATTTTTACTTATATATTTTTACAGTTTTAGAAATTGTTTTCTATTGTTTTTATTATCTGTATTGTTATTTTTTTGCTGATCCTATGGATCCTGTCCTTTTTTTGTACTGTCTTTTTTCATTATTGCTGCTGTTTTCTCAAAGAATTTCCCCATTGTGGGATTAATAAAGTCTAATCTAATCTAATCTAATCTAATCTAATCTAATCTAATCTAAGGAAAGCAGAGTGCCTGGAGAAAATTCTAGCAAAATCAGGAAGAACATTCAAACTCCATGCATATCACAAAGCCTACCTATTTCCAGAAAACTGCATGAGGCCACAATACTTCCCCTTAAAAAAATGTGTAGTTTAATTTTCACTGGTATACTTGGCATGTCCCCTATCTTGTATTTTCTGGGATAAACTGGAGGCTCACTGCAACCCTGTACTGAGTAAGTGGTTAAGAAAGATGGATAGATGATTGATAAATGCATGTTTCTTGCATAATGTAGGTCATATTGTCACTGTTCTCAAAATTTTGAGTAATTTAACATGGATTTTTCTTGCTGTGGATTTACTTTAACTCTCCAAATTGATTGCCTCCAACAATAATAGATGTTTAAAACATTCTTAAAAGTGAAAACAAGATGCAGTAGCATCTAGCAGTCCACCCACGGCATGGAGAAAAGGGGAACACCGTTCTGCAGGTGAATAACGGCACGAGGTCTCAGCAGGCTAAAACTCTGCTGGTTTAAGGTCGGGAGTTGCTAGGTGACTGCCTTTGGAGCTACTCAATCCCCTTGATCAGGTTTCAGAGAACTTTCTCCAGAAGGGTGTCTGTGGCCAGTCTGCAGCTGCCACCGTCGTTATTGAAATGTGCACACCCTGAACTGGGAAGGCACCTCCTGTCAAGTCAGGAAAGTGATGAGAGAGATAAGCCAGAGATAGATTTCAAGCGAAGGCAAGACGTTTATTTACAAGAGATAAGTCACTGACAAGCAAGTGTAGATATGCAGGCATGAAACTCGAGTCACGGTTTTTCATACTAATTAACTGCGAACTTTGGAAGGCTTGTGTTAGTCAAGCATCACCAGCAGGTATTGTGACATTTTCCTGTGAGGTGAACATATATGAATTCCAGTGATGAGACTTTTCAGAGAAGACAGCACTGGAACAAGATGCTAATGATGCAAGAATTGTTAGAACTTTTTTCCCTGAAAAGTTCTAAATGCGTTTTGGGCTGCCAGTTCAGAAGTTGTATGAGCCTCTAGCACTGGGTGTGACTTATGAGGTTGAGAAGCCACTCGTTCCAGGTGCAGAGCATAGAATGCTCACAGATTAGTCTTGGGACATGCTTAATGTAGTAAAAGTATTGCAAATGCATTGGTTTTATAACAAAAATCATTACTTCATTCATTTGTTTGCAAAAAAAAATATATCCCATTAGAAATAACTGGAAGATTTAAAGTATAGTAAAACATTCATTTCAAGTACTAATAAATTGAAACCCAGATTGCAGTTCCTATAGAGTTGTTCTGACTTTAAAAAGTTAATTGGCAAGCATCATTGGGTCCATTTTAATTAGTAACACCGTTGGAATAACATAAAGCACCAAACATTTGTGTTTAGTCTCCCTTTGGGAGTCAATGACTACAATTGCAATTAACAAATGGCAATAACTGAAGTGAAAGTCACTTAATAAAAAGATGATGTCTGTGTGAAAGACTTTTTTTTGATAACAAGTGAATCTGCAACATTACAGTTAAGCAAAGTGTCCCAAGACTTTCTGTGAGCATAGTATGTGCAGACTTTGAAAGTAATATATTCTGTAATATTAAAGCACTTGGAATTAAACAGATCCTTTAATTTAAGGTTTCGTTTAAGGTTTCACTAATACTATTGTATCATATTGGAATAATTTACGATGAGGAAAACAAACGATGCTGCAAAGAAATAGGTAAGGTTGGATTATTGTTTGCATTGCCATGGTGACTGATCACAACTCCAGGACCTATAGGTAACAGAGAGTCAATGAAACCAAACTGCCCCCCATTATCTTAAATAGCTTGATAAGGTCATTTATACGGACTGGAGCTTTGTCCTATTGTCAGTGTGCACAGTCTGTGACTGTTTATAGGAACACTGATATGGCTTATGGAAATTCAAAGTACAGTTCACCTACCATAAGCTTTGCAAATGTTTTATTATAGCATGACTGTAGGTCTGTAGTCATTGGAAGGGATATAAGTTTTTATTCCATAGTTAGGTAGAAGAACATCTGTGGATTATCGGTAAAAAAAAAATGAAAATCTAGTAAAGGAAGAAATGTAGTTTGGTTTATGCGTGTCTGTAATAAGGTGAAGGAACAGCTTCAGGACAAATATCATATTTGCATGTTGTTTGATTGCCCCCCCCCCCAAGTCGTGACTGAGCTCAGCCAGTACAGCTTTCACTTGCGCTTTATAGGTGTTTATGAATGCTGCTTTTGCTAAGTCTTTTACTTCATTGTAACTAGTGCATGCTTTATAATCAAATATATTCCGTATGGTTTAGAAATACTTAACTTTGTAGGAATTACTACAATTACTCAACAGAGGAGTGTGTGTAACAGACGTCAGTATGGAATCCAGGGAATATCCTAAAGGAAAAGCACCGCTTCAGAATTATCTGGGTCTATGATTATGGCTTAGCTTTGGTGGCGTATATTGCACATTACCGTATGATCCGTATCGTTTGTAAAATAAAATGTACGGTGTTTCACACCCTCAACATGTGATGATTCCAAGGTGAACAGAGAGATTTCGGCATCTTTCCTCTGAAGGTGTATTAGCACTCAGAGATTTTTTCAGTCTTACATCTGAAGCTCTCTGCAGCTCAAAGTTTCCTGAGTTGCACTGCTTAAGGAGCTCCAACTGATTGGTATATACGCCCTGCTGATAATACGACTGCCATCAACGTTTTTCAACAAGAAACCAAACCAGCTTTGATTTTTCAGTTCTGTTTTTGACCGCCTTAACACATCAATAGAGTATAACTACGTGATCATAGACACAGCTGCATCTTTTGTAGCAGTATTAAAACAGCAAAATGATCAATTAATCATGTGGACGAGGGTTGTGTTGAAAGTTGTCACTATTCATATAACAATTCATATGAAATAATAATGTAAAAATTATTTGCTGCACGTTCGCAACTTATTTACGTGCTACCCTGATTCTGCCTCTTAACGTTCCTATAATTAATCTATAAACATAATTATTTTCGTTCTGGAAATTTAAAATACATGGCAATATATATATATTGAAGTCTGTAATTTAGTTGCATGAAACATACGTTTAGCTCACGCGTTTATCCAATGCAACTTAAAGTAAACGGAAGGGTCACATTTACATGTGTTGTCTGGGATTTGAGCCCAGAACCAGTCTGTTGTTAATGTAATGCTCGACTTGTTTCGTTACAGTTGCAGTTTGCTTTAAATGCATTTGGAGTATATAATTATTTTTGTAATATTCATTTAAAAAAAAAATCTAAATTTTTATTGTACTTATGGGATTACTATTATTTGTATAATAAATACACTTCCATTATATATAATTGCTTTGAAATACGTGTTATAGCAGTTTTTTGTTGTTTTGCACATAAGAGGACTCGGGGCCATAGGTACAGCGCATTCGCAAACCAATGTCGTTGTATAAAGCTGATGGGATGATTTATGCAAAGAGCTTGATTGTCATTAGGCCTATATAATTCTAGCGAACTTTTCGCCGGTGCAGTCTGTGAATATTTATGAACTGGTTGTCATGGTGAAAAGAAAATGTTTTCTTGCAAGCCAAGAGTATCAGTGTGATTAAAAGAGAAGGTGCTACACGTTGAACTCGGTACCTCTTGCTTATTGTCAACCTTTATAAATTCCTTGGCCTCTTGTAACGTCTGACCGGATACATATGTTTTAATGCAGAGAAATCGACAAACACGATTGTATGTCGAAGTATAAAATGCAGGATGTAAAATGTGAAATTGATCATCATGTGTATATTTCACATAAAAAAGAGCCACGTGCTGAGTGCGTTTTATTAATTTAATATAATTTCAGTCATTAGTATCAGTGGAATTGGCTACATGTGACTTCAAAATGTAAATAACTGCATTTTAAACTAAGCGCCTTAACGTCGCTTGTTGCTTTCTGAGATTTCAAGTTGGTGCCAGGGTGTTTTATGTTAGTTATCTTCTGAAATAAGATAATTACATTTAAGCCTCCCTACGTATAGGCCTACTGAAACAACAAAACAGCTGTTCGATTAATCTGTTTCTTCTCATTCCAATAGTTGAAATTTAATAGTTTGTTCATTTAAACAACTTTTTTTATTTATGTTTATGGTCGAATCTATTTTTTAAAGGTTAAATTGAAAAAAAAAACATTTATATTGAACAACTTCAACTATTTTGTGCGATCGATTAGTTCAAATATTTTAAGCTGATTCAACATTTCCAGCATTTTATTTGTTTTCACTGCATTTTAGTACACACCTTAAATGATCATAGCTTCAGGCTAACACAGGTTTTGCTACATTGGAGCCTGTTTTAGAAACTCAGTCTTTAAAGAAGCTGTCCACGGTGCACGCGCTCCCGTGGTATTTCCTAGCGGAAAGTTACTTACATGAGGCGAGCTGCATCCAAGCGCAGATCTTGTAGACGCTACCGGCGTTGCAGAAGAAGAAGAGGCTGAAGCACACCATGCTGCCCACCACTAGCAGCACGGAGATGCCCACGAAGAACATGGCGGTCTTGAAGGCCCCCGAGGGGATGGAGCCGAAGTCCAGGGCGCTGCCCTTGCAAGTCAGCTCGGAGGTCAGCGCGTTGCCGATGCAATAGTGGAAGAGGCCGAAGTATCCAGCCTGGGGGGTATTCACGCTGTCCCCGATCCAGTACGGCTGAATGAACACTACCACCGTTATGATGGCGAAGCAGATGGTGAAGATCGCCCACAGCACACCAATGGCTCTGGCGTTCCTCACGTAATTGGTGTGGTATATTTTGGCCGCCTCTTGGGCTGGTAGCATTTCCCCCATCTTGAGGAGAGATCGCACTATACCAACAGCGAGATGCCACACAGTCCTAGTCCCAGTGTAATGCCGGGATCACGGAGTGAGGAGCTCCACACCACCTGAAGCTCACCGATCCCACACTGTTAGCAGATATTGCACCTCAGAGTAATGTTAGATGCTCGATTCCACCTGTGTTAGGCTATGTATATAACCCCATTCATAGCTCTTGTACTTACAGTTGTGTCTTCTGTATGTTTACTTAGAGACGTGGTTAAGTCCTGCTCCACACTTCACATTTTCATTTATCATTAACGAGGAGTCGCTGCTATTAGTTTTGTCCGTGGCCTGTCCAGTGTTCCCTGTTCAATGCCTTGGCGTTGCCCCCACCTCAGTCGCCAGCTTAGTCTCCGATCGCCTGGTATCAGATATCTAGCCATAAATTCAGGACCACGGAGAGCGATTCTCCATCAGTGATCACGCCCCCCGCCCCCAACCCGACTCGTGCGCTTTATTGGGGCGATAAGGGAGCAGGAAGGATAGTGTGCACTTGCTATTTACCGTGCATGGTAAGGCTCGTAAGTGAAGACGAGTTCGCTGTAACAGAAAACTCAGTGAATAGGTAGCAAACCATATGCTTAAAACTGTGCCACACTTGAGTCAATTACATGAGCCTTTACTGGTTACAATTAAGATATTAAAACTGTTAAAAAGAAAATGGAACAAAATTAGTGTCGACATGAGGTCAGGAAACAATTATTTTATATATTGACATCACTGCATACATTTCTATTATCTTTTTATATATTATTTAAACAATTTAAAATAACAGTAAGAAGTAAGAGTAGGCTAGGTTTAATATACAAGTGTAAAGTGTGCATGAAAATCCAACTTCCAAACGCAAATTTGTGTTCCGCAACATTTTCTGCCAGGGTGGATTTTATTACTACGCACGCGCTTCTCCAGCACAAGAATAAATTTGTAGAATAAGTCTTCAGATACGAAAAACTTATAGCTAAGAATTTCAGGAGTAATGCAAGCTGTGATACTTTAAACCAGATGGGTTCAGGTTTCCGTAGGATAACTCACACTAATAAGATCCTTAAACAAAAATCATATGCTAAAATGTAAATATTGTGGAACCGTTTCATGTCCACGTTTCTGGTTTCTGTAGCAATTCAACTCATTGGAATGTGCATAACATTCATTACGTCCAGTGGTGGAATAATACCCTCGTTTGTTACTCGGTCTGACTATAATGTAATCCTGAAACAATTCAAAGATTTCCAGGAATTCTGTGTTGTTTTGTTCCATTTTCAGATGCATTTTCTCAACATAAATGTTTTTTTATTGTTACATAAATTATATTTTCATTTCAGTTTAGTTAACAAATATTGTTTAGATCCACTGATGTGTAAAAATTAAAATAATGTATATATTACTATTTCTTGCAATTTCAACAGCGACGTCTAGCGGTTCATTGTGACCTTTTATACTGCAAACCTATTACTGAAAGGTACACATAATTTAATAAATTTTGTGTTTATATTATTTTAGTGGCAAGTTAGGGGTGTTTATGAACTTCATATAATTACTTAAGCATTTGGATTTTGTACATTTATTTAATTATATGTTAATTCCTCGCTATATACTATGTATACCGATCCTATACAGAGAAAGTCTATTTTTGTAATACTCGGCTTCTCTGATGACTGAAGCTGTTACACAGCTTTGAAAATTGATACAAATTACCGTTGTTGCAAAGAGAACAATACAGTCATCCCTAGGGATTAGGTAGTTCAATAATTATATAAATCAATAAATGTCGCAACTGTCCTTTTTGTTTGTCGACAAAAGCTGCCATCTGTTATAGCTGAAAACCCACAGAATAAGATTGAAACACGAGATATACTACAGATGAATTTTGTCAATATATCATTTTAGCTGCATGGACAAAGGTATTACATTAAATATGTATTAAGTGCTCTAAGCTAACATTCATTTAGAAACATTAACCTTTTTATAATATTTCCACAGCAGAAACAAAACACTTTCTGTACGTTTATAAAATGTTCCCCAGGGAAATGAACTGTGCAACAACAAGATGTATTGCCCTGTGCCATGGGACCACCATTAACTCTGGCGTCCTGGGAAGTTTTTTGCAGTATCACATAACCTCAAGTGAGCATGGCGTTGAAAGGAAATTTGCGATGTGGTAACTAAATATTTCCCATTCCCGGGACTCCAGGGACAGCGTCACAGTCAGTGTGATCGGCCGGTTAAATTTCTGTCACGTTATAGTCGCCGAGATGATTTTTAAAAATTAACGACGGATGATCAATTTATAAGAATAATTTAGCGACATACGATTAAGTCGAATGTGGCGCGTGTATGAAAATGACTAACGTGCCGTAAGCAAAAAACAAGGCTCAAGGACTTTTAACAATCACTACCAAACCAAGTATACGTTTGTATTTCTGTAATTTAACTTAAATATAATATTAAAGGCCTATTTTCTTGCAACATTTCCATCTAAGCCCACAGATTTATAGTTAATAATACTTTCTCCTGCATCGTCGATTCTGTTCCCGTTCAAATGAACGAATTTGATTAACCAACCGACAGAGGGCGCCAGAGTGTTTGCTATTCTCATTCAACTGTATTTCGACCATCCAACCGTCCATTTTCTGTTCCCGCTTGTCCTATTCAGCGTTACGAGGGTCTGGAGCCTATCCCAGAAGCTACAGATGCAAGGCAGGGAATAATCCAGAATGAGTCCACAATCCATCACATTAAGTATTTTAATCATATAAGGGTTCATAAATCCTAAACTCTCAACCCCCCCCCCTCCCCCCCGCTCCAGCCAACACAGCACCACCAAATTAACTTATAAGAAAAGATCTCCTTTTTGTATTTTAATGAAAAGTTACCTTACTATGACCACACAGTTCTTTACAGTATTCACAAATGCAACATCGCTCTATTTTAAAAGCATCACCATTTCAAAATAAATATTCAAAAAGGCCCTAATGGTGTAGTGTAGGATGGGGCAAAGAAAAGGCTGTATTCAGGCGGACAAAGAGGTTGTTGTGTTGATGGGCCAGAGGGGTAAAGCAAGACGCCCTCTTTATTACCCTATCTCCAATGGTCTTCTTTCAAGGCCCTGCAGAAATGATCTTCTCTTGTGATCGGCTGCAGTACGCACAGCTCTGCGTGCTTTTAGAATAAGTCTTCACATCCACTGTAAAAATATGTGGATGGGATGAAGAAGCATTTCATTGAACTTCGGGCTGCATCCATACATACATATTCAACTGTGGTAATTACCACCACTCAAACCATGCATTTGTGTGGGGCCCCAAGTTTTGGGGGCCCCCTGTTGACCGCAAACAGTCACTACACAACATTTTAAATAAACACGATCCTTATTTAGGAGATTCTGAAGCAGCATGTTCTGCTAGTTTTTGAAACATCTGCGAGAGGTGCAATTTTTTTGAATGGGTCCCCAGACACAACAATCCGCCTTGTCACATATGCAGAATCTCTGTTCTTCACTTCAACCTTTTGCAGGTTATGTACCATCATCTCATGTTCGCCACACATCACATATGTCTCCTAACCAAGGGCCTGCAGACCCTGACTTTGTGTACAGTAGCCAATCCTTTCAAAAAGTGACTCACCTTGATTATGCTTCAATGGCAGCCAGTCACGCACCATCAACTAGGTAACACGTAATCCCTTTATTTCATAGCAAGTCAATTCACCTCTCATCCGCAGAGCAAATAATGTGCTCAGTCATTACAGAAAAGGTCTGTCTAAGCTACTCTTCGGGGCTTGCATGAAGTGCTCTGATTATTATGTTCTTTAAGGGCAGCAGGTAATTTTGTGATTGAGGGAACTAAAATTATGCCAAGTTGCAAACCTTGGGAGGACCTCTGCTGTTGTACCATTGAGGAAGGCATTTAACTACTTCTTCAAAACAAACATCTTTTTGTATCATCTTGCTGAACCAAATACAGGATACATAAATCACTTTGGATAAAACATATACTCAGATAAATAGAAAATGGATCAGAATAAATAATTATATTAACCCAGGGTGGGGCTGGCTCCCCATCCTGGGTTATTCCCTGCCTTGTGCCCATACCTTCCAGGATAGGCTCTGGACCCCTGCAACCCAGAATTGGACAAGCGGGTATAGATGGATGGATGGATGTAAAAAATAGTTGTGATTGTCATAAAAAGTCTGTATCTTTTCTTCCAGTGATAGACAGAGCTGTCTGTTGATTTAAAATATTCAATATATAGGCCTATAAAAATCTCAGGTGATATGGGTAAAATTACCCAAATGGGCTGAGTGTTACATTGCCTCATTCTGTGCTTCCCAGGCGAGAAAACCCAGCATCCTCCTGGCTTTGTCCCATTTATAAGCATCCTGTTTGTCACATGACTGAATCGTTTTTGCTGTCTCAGCCTAGTCTTCTTGCCACCCATCTTTGAGTCTGTTTCCATAGAAACGAGTTGCTGAGTGCCTTTGCAGAGGAGCACACGTCCACACCCAAAGCCTGGCTGAAGGAGTGCAAGAACCAGTATTTGGAACAATGTCCTTCTTGACCTTATTGTTACCTACCAAAGCTGTAAATCTGACCCTGGCTGCAGTGTTTTCTCGTAGCTTTAAATGAAATGTATCTAATAGCAGATAAAAGACATGGAGCTGTTCCAGTGTGCAGAGACATTGTCTCAAAGGACCTTTAATTTACAGTTGGGGTCATTTATTGACAAGGGATGGATTTGCCACATGATGATGTCGTCAACATCATCCCAGGTCTCCCAGTTTATGTAGCTTACTTTAGCTCCCCGTGGATGTGCCCGTATAGTTTGGTTTGGGTTGAATCCTGAGCCCTTCAGCCATACCAACTAAATCCCCCCCATCAAAACCACTATGTCCCCCACAATTAGTCATCGTGGCCAAATACATCCAACTTGAATGTCAACAGGACATCTGGGTTTTGCTATTGAGAGCCCAGAACCTACTGTGGTTCTCCCCCTCCCCCCTTGCACTCATCGCAGGCTGGGCCACCGTGAAATCGAGCGGCTGGGGCCAAGCGAGACAGGGTGAAATAGCATGCGATGTGCAGCTGGGGGGGTCTTCGACAGCCGTCCGAGCCTCACTGTGTTTAAGCCTGTAGATGCTGAAACGGAACACTCACAGAGCAGAGTCTTACTGTTATGTCTCAACGATCAATAGGCATGTAGGGTCAGACCGCCAATCAGCCGTCAGAGCCGGCCCCCTTTGTGTCTCTCAGCCTATAGGAAACCACCGCCTGAGATCGCCGGCGAGCTGCACCGCCCCAATTCACTTTGTGTCGGGAGGTGCACACTGGGGGCAGGGGGCAGCAGCGAAGCTCACCTGGGGTGCCGCATGCGCTCCGAGCGGCCCAGTCCTCGGCTGTCACTGGTCAGAAGCTAAATGCAGACTGGCTGAGATACTGGTGGAAAATTCATGGAAAATTAACTCTCTCTGTGTCAGTCAGTCATGTGCTAAATAAGGCCTGTCCTTATGGGGACTTTCGTCTTGTGAATAATAAAGCTGGCTGTTCTGAAGTGTGCATTCTCTTGGGGGGGGGGGTGTTCATTGGGTCTGACAGGACGTCGACGAATCCAGCCTGAATTTCTCACAGGAACCAGTTGCCCTGAGGAAGGGGTGCTGTTACAGAAGCCTATGACAGCCTGTGGTCTCCTCCACATTAGAAAACGCAAGTGAGCCGTTGATCCTGAAATAAAACCTGAAATAAAACAACAAAATTAAATGCCTCCAATATCTGCTGTTTCCTGCTCAGGAATTGAGCGAACAAAAAATGATTACATAACATTATTCTCTTCATTTCAGAATCACAGGCAATATTTATGGAAGAGAGAGAATCAGCTTAGGGCTTCTGAGTCAAATTTAGAAAATGTATTGAAGGGATTTTCGAAACATCAAAAGATGTTTCATAGCCTGCTTACCGCGACAGGCCTTTGGGGCTGATCAGTGATGGCATTGCAAAAGTCAGATGTGTGGATGTTAAGTGTGTGTGTTTGTGCTGTTCTGGAACGCTTTGATATTTATTGCTCTTTTCCACGAGTCCAAGTCTTGCAAAAAAGCACCAATCACAGGTTTATTAGCAGAGCAGACATGTCTGGTGACAGATAACCTTTGTGCACAGAGTATTTTTTTTTTAACATTACCTATTTATCAGACACTTTTATTCAAAGCAGCATACAATTAAGAACGCAGGGTCAGTTCCTGGAGCAATTGGGGATTATGGGCTTTGCCCAAGGGCCCAATGCTGAATGACTGTGCTGGTCCTGGGATTAGAGCTGGTGACTTTCTGATCACAGGCCGACGAGCTATACGCTGCCCCTGCCATATACCTTACACTGTGTTTTGGTCCAATTCAATCAACAGCCCCTTGTCATCGTGTTATAGATTTGTGATATGATCTGGGTCTGCTTCTCTGTGTTTCCCTTCTTAATATTTCATGCAATTTGGGTGCTTTTGTTCAAAATTACCCATACAAACGTACTGTGCTGCTTCCTCTAGCAGCATCACTATCCTGAGTGGACTCCGAATGTACATATGCCATTTCAACAATGGGCACTTCGTCCTATAAGTACCAAAATCGTACACTTCTTCACACAATCCTCATCTATTGATTAAATTGATTACTTTTCTGCTTTTTAAATTTTCACTCTTTTTCCTTTACAAATGTGTTAGTATTTATTGTCTATTTTACTCATGTTATTATAGTCATTGTATTTATTTGTATTTTTTATCTATCGTATCTTATATATTCAGGCAGGCATGCAGTCCTTTTCTCGCTTGCACCCGCTACTCCACACTGACCCACTGTAAACCTTTTTTGTTCCAAGAGGATTTGCAAGAGCAGAGCTGGCTCTAAACTGTCAATACGCTCACGCAGCATGTCTGTAGACAGACACAGGATGCACCACAGTGGAGTAGCACAGCTGTGCAGCGGGCACTGCAGATTTAAGGCCCCAGGCTCTCACACCAGGATAAGACCATAACACTGTACACTTGAGTTGGATATATAATGTAAATTACTAAAATAAAAAAAAATAAGCAAATAAGCTGTCAAGTCAAGTAGCCTTTATTATCATACCGTCCACATACAGGTATACAGTGCCATGATATAATGTTCTCCCAGGATCAGAGTGCAATATACAACAGCACTGTCAGGGACAGAACTTAAATTGCAAAACACAGGACTGTGCGAAACAGGGCGGCTGGACACAGGAGTTTACACAGCCTTGTGACCAGCAAAATAATAACGTTCCAATCTGCTACTCCTTTCAGTGTAAAACTGGCGTGGCGGCCTCTTTTCGCGGGTTGTACTTAGATAAACATGAAGGTAATCTTCTGGATTTGATTATCCACGGGAGCCCGAGAGCTGACCTCGATTAATAAGGACTGCTGATATGGTGGCGGGGATGCGCACTGGTGCCTCACAGCAAACTAAACAGCTTCCCTTACAGGCGGAGGACACCGCCCGTCGTGTCTAACGAGCCTGCAGACCGGCCTAGGTGCGTGTGTCAAGTCCACACACGCAGTGCGCAACACAAACACCGGCAAGCAGAGAGTAGAACAACGGCTGACAGTGGCAGCTCCTTGTTTAGTGTCAGAAACTGCTGTTCAGACCATAAAAAGTGACGCATTTTATTAATTAGCGTAAACACACACTTTTCAGTTGTGTCCAACTGTAAACATACGTATAGGCCTACAACAGGTACACGCATTACGTATGTACACATAATACAATTTAAGTCTAAAACGTGACTATATTAAGATATACCCGTCTGTATAGTAAAGGCCTTTATTCCAGTTAACTTCAAAGTCTGTTACTGTATGACATTTCAATATATAAGATCAGAGCTAATTAAAAAGGGCCACGTTTATTGATAAGTAAATTGATAAGTAAATCACCTTCCATCAGGACTCTGGTCTTAAAACTCACGACTCCGTAATATTTAACTATTCTCATATAATGTTGGTTTTACTGAAACGTTCACACCTTTCCACGATTTATAGCTGACAGTAAGGTTAACAGAATCTAAGACGCAATAAATCAGGCATAACTCTCATTTGCATTAAAATGACTCGCTCAGAACAGCAGCGAAACTCCCTTCGTATTATGCACCCTTCGACCTCGGCGGCGCTAAATCGTCGCCCTTTGGCCCCCTGCACGCCCGTTATGGCCGCACGATGCCTTTCAGATGTCGCTGCCAGCCTCTCGCCCCCCTCCAGCGAGGTATCATCTCTAAGCGTTTCTCCATACACCTACAGTACGACCTCTTCTGCTCTAATTGGCCAATTACGCGGCAAGGGGCGGGTCTTTTGACTCTGTATGGCCCAGACGCCCATCAATCAAGTGGGGATTTGCTCGTCCCTTCACTTTTCAGGTCTCTAGAACAGGCAATGTGGGGGAAAAAAAAACCGCTGGTCTGTGTGGGTTTAGATGAATGCCGGAACATCGCGCACACGTATGACAGGATGTAGCAGCAGGGCAAAAAGAAAGCAATAGAATCGCGGGGCGCCGGTTTGATTTGAAACGGAGTGTGATTTTGTAATGACAGCAGCTATGCGTGATGTGGGATCGGGGCGAAGGTATCCAGAGATGCCGAGCTGCGGGGATCGCTTATGCTTTAACCTGGTCGCCAATTGATTACTGTGCTTTTGTTATGTACCACTTCTCAGTCCCCTGTTTTCGAGGGGCTTAGTAAACGTAGTTAATATAGGCAAAAGGTAAGGCGTGATCGGAGGCACAATGGCTGCACAAAACGACTGCTGTGTCAAGGTCTCTTTAAGGTAAGCCTCCTCCAAATATTATAATACATAATATCTCTTAATATTCACTGTTAGCGGGGGGTAAGTAAAAGAATTGTTTCTGTCTTTGCACAGTGTGTCTGGCGCCTAAATATAGCTAATTTCCTGTTTAGTTCCTTCTTATAACAAAGTAAAATGGTTGTCTTTTATAAGCGCTATTGCTATTAATACAAGTAAGCGTAGTAGGCTAATATTACTAACACAGCAGGTTAATTTAATGGCAGTTTATATTTATATTGATATTTGTGTTGTAAGACTGGAAAGCAAGTTGCTTTATTTAAGTCACAGTAAATGGCCATGTCTACGCCTTTGGTCCAACTCAGTTTATGAATTGTCTGTTTTCTGCGGCACAGGTGCGGCGCGGGCACCCTTCTCATACTACCTTAACATTCAGGGCAGATCAGAGGGTGTGTTTTGTGCGTGCCCTGTACCTTGATTGCCACGCCAGTACTTCTTTATTTTTATGCTGCGAGCGTTTTCACTTCTCTTTCTTTATAATTGCGCACTCCGGAGCCAGTGTTACTAAATAGCGGTAGTTGCAGCAACAAAGAGGAAAGCACTGGATCGCCCATCGGACCCTTTGTTAGACATGCAGACGCACAGATCACCTCCTGTGAAGACCAGTAATTAACACTGATCGTTATCCTTAACACGTCCGTTCAAGGCAGATCTAAACTGTCATAGTGTCCGTGACTGCGTGTGATCGTTTTACTGCATACGTTTTTTTTGAGTTTCGTGATCATGACCTTACTTGCAGAGATCACCCTGCTGCGTTGCGGCAGTCTGCTTATTGCATTACAGCCTATATAAAATAGACTTCAATGAAAGCAAGCTTGTTTTTTTTGGAGGGTTTAAGGTGCGATCGCAGTCATGTCTGCAGTTAGACCGTCACATGTAAATTACTCTGTTTTTCCCGAGGCTAAAGCACGTTGTTGCACCCGGATACGTATTTGGTTCACTAATGCAGCAAAGAGGCAGATGCTCAAGTGGAGATGTTTTTGGGACGGCCACTCCTCGTGGTGCCAATTCTCGTTTTTAACAAACATCAGGGAAAGTGACTTGCCCTGCTAGTATATCTTTGTGTGCAAAGTGTGGAGGCCAGACTGTTTAACTGTGATGTGAGTGATTGTCAGGACCCCTCCCTTGACTTCCTCCGTCTTTAGATATCTCCAGCTGAATAACCTTGAGAGCTCAATTAGTGACAGGATATGATGCTCTAAAAACAACCAGATGGAGTAATTATTGCAAGATATAGCAAACCAGACCTGTTTTTCAGTGATGCTGATCTTTATGGAAACTCCATGTATAAAAGTAGCAATTGCTTTCAGATTTTAGTAATTGATTTGCAGCTGAATTATTTACATTTTTCCAACAGAGGTTTTGTTTGGGGATGATGACAGTCATGAAAACCTGAATATCCCTGGTTCGTACTCGTAAATTTGGAGTCCGTTTCCTGTTTTTCCACTGCATTTAACCCTCGAACCCTGACCATCCTTTATCTTCGCGCTGTCCAAAAACAATTCAAGAGCATGATCCCAGGACCTAATGCGTGTCGCATGCTGCCTGATTGCGGTTTTTGTTTCCTGTGCTGTAGCGATGGCTGTGGTTTCCACCCAGTTCTCCCACCGCACGCGGTTCCCGCCCTTCTCTTTGGGCCGACCCCCCTAAGCTTCCTGGTTGGTCGGTCGGTGTGATCTGAAGTCAGGGAGGAGGCAGGACATGGACTGTCTCCCGTTGGACCTCTCACGCCCTCACCTATCCTGTTTCCTAGACAGAACAGCGGCCATTTACTACAAAGGCGTATTATTGGAGAGGGACTGGTAAATAGATACAAAGGAGAGTTGTTGGTTGGGAGCCATGATTGGGGATTTCACGCCTGTAACGGTGTCTCTGTTTCAGACCCCATGAGCACAGTCACCCTGAGGAGTTGTCATGACAGAGATCAGGTTGTTTCTTTTACTTTTGGGAGTGGTTTGCCAAGGATCTTTCTGTGATCTTCAAAAAAATCACCCATTATGCAGTTAGTCTTAACCAGAGGTAAACTGAGTGGATATGCTTCATAAAGTGACATCAGATATGGCCGACAGTCTAAAAAAAATGTATTTTAAATGTAACCAGGGTGTCCGTGGGATTTTAAAAAGTATTAAAAGGTATTACACGCAAATTTACGAGGTATTACATTTTAGATTTTTTTAAACTACAAATTGTCCATTTGTGTTGTAAAGTTTATCTGCTAAATTTCTCGCAAATTATTTTAAATGTGGATTAGGCTCATTCCTTCATTCATAGATGATCTCTGTGATGCTGACGTCATATTCGGTGGTCGAGCGACGTCTTAAACAGTTTGCGCGCTGAAGTACATGTTGGCTGCTTACACTCATTAAAGCTAAGTCATAGTCATCATGGGTAAGTGCAAATTTGCACACAAGTGGTTAGAGGACCCAGCGCTTAAGGACTGGCTAAGGCCGGTAGCAGGAAAATATCGAGAGGGTTACTGATCGGTTTGCAAAAAAAAACATAAATATCACCTGGATGGGGGTTAGCGCTCTCTGGTCGCCTATGCGATGCACAACTCATAAATCAGGAATGCATGGATGAGAGCAGTTAGTCAGCTGCTGCAAATCGACAAACTCATTGAAGAAAAAGCCAAACAATTAAGGCACTTGCCATGAATAGCCTAGTGGATAAAGATATGGACTTGTGACTGAAGAAGTTAAATGCAAGATGTTTTCAAAATCACAGTCACTAAATTTATTCTGTTGACCCATGTTCCCTATTTAAATTCTGTTGTACAGGCCAAAATTGTGTAACATTATAAATTTTTAAATCAGTTTGAAACTTGTTTAAAAACGGTTGCAACGGTTTTAAAAAATATTGAGAAAGTATTCAAAAAGGTATTAGAAAGTGTTAAATTTAACCTCTGGATTTCTGTATATACCCTGGTAACCTTTTCAATCATAGGCGATGCTTCTGGAAGGTATTTATATCTGTATGAGATTTTCTGGCAGGACACAGTGCTGAACGCTTGTGTCCGTGATGAAATGAAAATCCCTTCTGTGTTCACTCATGTCCTTTGGCAGATTTTGTTCACTTAAACATACTAATATAGATGATTTTTTCTATGATCTGTATGAGTCTTACTTTTTCCGGAAGAAATTAAACTATCTATTTGGCTAAGTGAAGTGTTAAGTTGATTCCCAACGAAAGCTGCTTGGAGAAGCTGATGCCCCAGGTGTATGTGATTTTTTTTTGGAGGCCATAAATGGGCCGTACCATTATGACACGGATGGGGGGAGAGTCGTTTGTAGCTCTTTGTTATTAATGGAGAGTTTCACTCTATAATGGAGCTGCAGACCTTCTGCCTGCAGTTGATTGCTTCCTGTCGGGCCCCCATAGGCCGCACGAAGCTTCCTGTCCCTGCAGTGTGACGTCGTGTCTCGGAAAGGGGCCCTGCTACTGCCGCCCAAACTGTCACATTCTGCGCTAACGCTTCCACGTGCGCTAAATCGCTGACACATGAAGGGGTGGCCGATCGCACCCGGCCGCCATGCCACACTGAAGCGAGAAGATAACACACACAGATATTTTTTCCAATACTATCGCTGTCATTGTTTTTTTCTTTTTTTTTTCTTCTGAATGCTCAGCACTTAGGATACTCAGTACCAGCGTGCCATTCATGCAATTCGAAGAATATGATTGGCAGGTTTTCTGCATCACCGAATTGCCAAACAAATGTTGCCAATACTACAGTTACACTGTGGTCACCAGAACACTCGTTACCAGAAAGCACTACTGGGGGCTGTTAAAGAACCCCCCCCCCCCCCACGTCATTGCAGATACCCCTTGCTGTTGAGCCCACATTCCAAGCGGGGGCTTGACAGACCCTTCGCATCATTTCCTATCTGTGAACCCTGACTTTTTTTTTTTTTTTTTGAAGTAAAAGAAAGGCTAGTTGTACTGGAGAGAAGGGGGGGGGGATTTGGGACGTGAAAGGGGGTGTGGAACAGGAAGTGTTTCTTATTCTCCCTCGGTGCTAAAGGGCTGCCATAGAAAACAAACATTGGCCCTCAGAGGGCCCCAACAAAGAGGCGCATTTATTAATTATTAGCGTGGGGTGGAAGGTCGCTGTGTGCATGCTTGGGGGTGCGGGTGGGTGGATGGGGGGGGGGAGGGCTCACAGCTGTGCTCTTTTCAGATTCTCCTACTTAAGGGCACAGGCAGACCCTCACACATACCCCTTTAGGGGACAGTCTGTGGCTCAGCGGGATACGATGCTGTGCTTGTGATCAGAAGGCTGCTGGTTCAAATCCCAGGCTCAGCAGAGTCATGTCACCTTTGTGCCCTTCAGCAAGGCTCTTAACCCCCAATTGCTCTAGGGAGCGGCTGACCCTGCCTTTTCAAAAAACAGTATGTCTGCTAAATAAATACATAAATGAGTAAAAGTATTAGCCTACACTCTGCTTTGCATAAGAGTATCTGCTACGTAAATATGTAGTAGGCCTGTGTTTGTGGGTTATGTATATATTACATTGTGGGGACCAAATGTCCCCACAGTGATGTATTTTGTTTGGTTACTAGTGTGTGTGTGTGTGTGTGTGTGTGTGTGTATAACCTGTCTTATGGGATGTTGTAAGCTGGCCATTTAGATTGTTTCATTAGCTTCTCCTTTGACCTAATGTGCTTCTAAGTGGCCTGGATGTGGAGGCCGTAACCTTGAGGAATCGGAGGAGGATGGCTGAATAAGTGTTGAGGACTCTTTGCAGAGCCTGACGCTGACAGCCCCGGCCTCTCAGATTCCCAGAACAGCAGGAATGACGGGGCTGGTTAAGCGCTTCTGTTTTGCATATGGTGTTCACCTCCCCCCCCCCCCCCCCCCCCCCCGCATGCGACATGCTCTCTGCATTATTCAAATGGCCGTGCTGAGCATCCATAGAGCCAGTATTCTTCTTGCGATAAGCACTCACTGTTGCATGGCTCATGCT